CCCCCTCGTCCTGCCTCATCACCGCGCACCCGCTCTCCACCAACCCGCCCCAGAACTCCTTCTTCCCTTTGAGTTCCGCCTCGCGCGCCTCGGCCTTGTCCGTCGGCAACGAATCCCACATCGTCGTCGCCAGCACGACACTCGCCAGACTCTCACTCCCGCACAGCTCCCGGAACAAATCGATGTTCTTGGCCGCGCTCCCGCTCACCCGGTTGTCCTGGATGCGGTGCAGGTAGACGATGCCCGCGAGCTTGACGTCCTCGGCGAGCCAGCCGGCGATCTCGGAGAGGATGGACGTGTCGGTGCGCGTGGTGTCGTTGAAGCCCGGGGTGTCGATGAGGACGACGCGCCGGGGGATGCCGGGGAGGGTGGTCGGGTGGAAGGAGATGGTGGACGTGCAGGACTCGAGGTCGTTGCCGATGATGGCGGTGGAGGGGGAGAAGTGAGAGATGAAGGTGGACTTGCCGACGCCGGTGAGGCCCATGATGGCGATGAGGGCGTCGTCGGGGCTATAGGGGGGGGGGGTTAGTGGTGTGGTGATGGAGGGGGAAGGGGGGGGGGACGTACCCGATGTCGGGGATTTCGGGTTGGGGGTCGGCGGGGGCGAGGATGGGGGAGGGGTGTTCGATGAGGATGGCGCTTTCGGTGGGGTGGATGCTCTCTGCCGGTCCGGGGGCGGGTGCGGGGGCCGGGGCGGGAGCGGAATCTGGGGATGCGGTCCAGGGGTTCTGGTTCAGGGGGGTGTCGGTAGGTGCCGGCTCTGGTGCCGGCGCGGGGACGGGGGCGGCGACTGGCTTGACATTGGTCTTGGAGGCGTTGGTGCTGGAAATGCTCCTCCCAAAGGGAGAGCGCTTCGACTTGGAGTGGTTCTGGCCCATTGTGGCGGTTGTTGTTGACGGTCAGGGGTGTTGGACTGACTGTATCGGTGCTGCTGTGGAGTTGTCAAGGTCAAGACAAGCGATTGTTGGTTTGTTCTTATATCTGGGGCACTGGCAGCACATGCATTGGGCAGAAGTCATCACCACATATCTTTTCACTGCCCGGAACCTCGGTATCGATGTGCATCGTCACCTGTCATGGAGCGCCCAAGTGCAAGGCTTGCAATGCCCATTGTGACGACCGTTGAGCAGGGAAGCCTCCGGTCCTTTCGTTCCGGTTGGGTCCAGCAAAGCACGACTCTGGGGCAGACGAGCAGGGCGTATCGTCAGGTGGCCAGTGGCGGTGAAGTGCACTTTTCTCCCAACGGCCTCGCTGGCTCTGACAACACACGAACCCTTGGGGAACGACGTGTCCAGTGTCCAGGCACCGCTCCAGGGGTGTTCCAGGCGCCCCGATTTGCCAGCGTATCAAGACCCGACGTTTCGACCTGACCTGCAGCCCAAGCCCACCCACTGCCCAGCCAGCCTGCGCCGGCCGGTTGGCTGCCAGAGACGCGCGCAACTGTGCAAAGTCGAATCCCAGGAAAATATGAGAGACGCAGATCTCTATCACGTAGCACATGGGAACACAAGCAGAAAGTGTAAGAATCGGTTTTGTTTCGTGTACGACGTTGGCATGTGTCAATTGAGCAGCCCCGGCCTTTACCCCTTTTTGTTGTTTGGGCCCGCCTCCTTTTGCCCACGACGCATCATGGCGGCTTCCAACTTCCACCGCACCCCGGAAAGGGGCCAAGAAAACATGCAAACCCCCTCCAGCCGCCCGGAACCCGGCTACATCCTCGTCATGGGCATGACCGGCTCCGGCAAGACAACCTTCATCTCGCGCCTCACCGGCCCCCACACCGACGTCGGCGTCGGCCACTCCCTCTCCTCCAGTCCGCCCCCCTACCCCCATCCCCCCCTACCAAATCTAACCCCAGCAGGCACCATCGACGCAACCGCCTACCCCGTCCTCTCCCCTCACCCCCCTCACCGCCCCCTCTTCCTCATCGACACCCCCGGCTTCGACGACACCACGCGCTCCGACGCCTCCGTCCTCGCCACCATCGCCTCCACCCTGCTCGCCCTGCACCGCGCCCGCCGCCCCGTCCTGGGCATCATCGTGCTCCACCGCATCACCGACGTCCGGCTCGCCGGGTCCGCCGTCAAGACCTTCCGCGTCCTGCAACGCCTCTGCGGCCCGGCCAACTACGACCGCGTCGTCCTGGCCACGACCATGTGGAGCGACGCGTCCTTCAGCGCGGCGGGCCGCGAGGCGGCGGCGGCGCGCCAGCGCCGGCTGCGCGAGTACTGGGGGCGCGACGACATGTTTGCGGGGCGGAGCGTGGTGATGCGGCACGCGCAGGACGCGGGCGGGTCGGCGTGGCGGGTGGTGGAGGCGGTGGTGGCGCTGGCGGAGGAGGAGGGGGCGGCGGGGTACAGGCCGCTGGGGATTCAGGTGGAGATGGGGGAGCGCGGGGTGGCGCTGGAGGAGACGGCGGCGGGGAGGTATGTGATGGGGGAGTTGCTGGAGGCGAGGAGGGCGCAGGAGGGGGAGCTGAGGGAGCTGGAGAGGAGGGTGGAGGAGGGGGCGATGGTGCTGAGGGAGAGGAAGGGGGAGGGTGGGGGGGGCGCGTCGTCGCCGGATCGGGTGGATCAGCTGCAGAGGTGGTTTGTGTCGTTTTGGACCGGGTTGAGGTCGGGGTCGTGGTGGAAGGCGGCGGCTTGATGGGGGGGGGGTTCAGGGGTTTGTTTGGTCAGGGGGGGTGGGGGGGAAACTTTGATTTCTAGCGAGTGTACATGTTTAAACCAACCCCGGGTTGTTTTGTAGGTAAGTTGCTGATGATACCAAGGTAAAGAGCGTGCCCGTCTTCCTCCTCCTCCCTCCATCCCTCTGAAAGCTCAGTCATGCAGACTCTACGAACCATACTCCAGCCTCGCCCACAGGGCCTTGCCGTCCTCCTTGAAAAACACAATCTTGATGTTGACCCCGTTCTTGGTGGTGACCTGGAACTTCTCGTCCTGGGCCCACAGGCGCTTGTTCTTGACGTCCTTGTCGTCGTAGTAGCGTCCGTGCAGCTTGGTCAGGGGCGTGGCGTTGTCCAGGTCGGCCGAGATGTCGCACCAGCGCTTGTAGTTGTGCACGCCCACGGCCACGGCGAAGCGGTCGCCGCCCGAGGTGCGGAACCGGAGCATGCCCGAGGTGCCGCTGGCGTTCATGGACAGGATGGCCCCGTCATCAGTGCGCTCCCACTCGGTGCCGGCGCCGAGCCAGCATGTCTTCTCGACGAGCGTGAGCTCCTCGGAGCTAAAGTTGAGGACGTTGAGGTTGATCGTGTAAGAAGACATTCTGTGTTGTCAGTAGGGGTGAAGAAGGAGGTATGGCTCGGGGACATACTTGAGGACTTGGAGAGGATTCTGATGTGCTTGGTGTTTGAAGAGCTGTGTGTTGGTGAGGATGAGAAAAGATATACCATGAACGGGGACTGTGTTTTTATACACAATTTCTGGGTCTGGCTGCCCCCCTTCTTCACAATCATCGAGAGACTCTGGAGGCCCCCGGACTTCACCCAAGTCTACGTCTTCCGTATTGTCGTGGCCCATGAGACTCTTCCGAGTGGAAGGATGGTCTCGGCTTGGCCAATGGACCGGGCCGTCCCGATCGACCATGCATGTCTCATCTCAATCGGGGTCCTCAAAAGTTGTCCATATTGATCGGAGGAAGCTGAGAAGCCTGAGATGAGGCCACTGGCGCGTCAAACAGCTATACCCTTCCTGTCCAGTCGGAGAGCTTCACCTTCTTCCCCGCTTCGAGCAGTACGCGTCAACTTTCTGTCCTGTCGGAGAGTTTCAGCCTCTTCCCCGCTTCTACAAGATGAGGCTGAGACATGATGTTGTCCTCTCCAAAATGCGGGGATGTGTGACCGAATATCATCAACTTTGTAGTTCACCGGGGTAAGATGTCTCGGGGTGTTGCTTGTGCAAGGTCGGGAGGAAGCCTCACCTCCCCGATATGCCGGCCCTTTCCCGGAAGGCCGCCGTGTGACTAGAGAGCTTGGAATGTTTTGATGCAGTCTCGTACTATTTGGTCGAGGCGTCGGGTTGGATTCTGGATGAGGGGGTTGGCGATCTTGGAGTGAAACCCGACCACCGGAAGAGAAGAGGAAGAGGAAGTCAAAAAAAGAACCAGGCGACGACGATCTCGGGATTGAAGGGTCGGAATCCAGACGCCCTATGGTTCAATGACCTGGATGAACGGGAATAGGAATGAAGCAATACGTAATACTCCCTAAGAAATTAGGAAACCCAAGGAACGAAAAGTCATTCCCCAGCTCCACGACACTCCGGATCGAACCCTCCCCCCGACGTCTAAAACACCCCGTTCTCAAAGTCCACCACCACCGCCTTGTCCACCAGTCCCGCTAGGCCCTTTACAAATGCCTTGTGCGCCATATCATCCTTGACATAGTAATCTCGATCCTCAATACTCCCAAACTCGACCACAAACCCATGCGTGATCCCGTCCTGCAGGTTCTCGTGGGAGTTGTCCTTACCACCCTTCAACGAGAGGATGTACGCCTCCCCGGTGAATGGGTGCAGACAGTTCGTCTTGAGAGCCAGGAACCTGGCACAGACCTTGGTTTCCATGTCAGCTCGTCTGGGGGTTTGATATAAAGAGAGAACGCTCACCGCCTTGACGGCGTCGGGATCGGCGTCGGGCTTGAAGGCAAAGAGAACCGTATGCGTGACGGGTGCCATTCTGTTTGCAGGGGAGTGGATGTTGGACAATTGACCCGATAACTGGAACACACTAAAGGCGGCGTAGACGACGAGGCACAATAGAGCGAGAGAGCCGGCAATGTGGCGTGTCCGGACCAGCATTGGTGATGCTGTTGATGTTGGAGACGGTGGAGGTGACGTTGCTGGAAGAATAAGTGGGGTCAACCCCGGGGGGTTCGTGCAACGACCCCGAGTCCAAGCTTCCCCGGAACAAACACCACCCGTCCCTTCCCGAAGGGACATAGGGAGCATGCGGAAGAAAAAAGAATGGAGCCTGTAACAGAGGCAAAAAGAAAGTCAGATGGGCTTCGTCGGGGATTGAACCCGAGACCTCGCACAATACCAGTATCCTGATATGGGAATTACCCGAAGCACGAATCATACCACTAGACCACGAAGCCGGCTGATTGATGGGAAAGCTGTCGGAAATTTCGTTCGAAGTCGTCCAGAGACAACACCCCACAACCAAGACCGCCGAAACCACCCAGACATTTCATTTGATGTTCCTTCCCTCGGCCGCAACTGACTTAACCACAAGGTTCTCGGAAAAGGCTTGTCGGTACAGGAACACACCCCCTGGATACTCTGTACCGAGATCGCCATCCCATATTCCCCCGCTGTGAGCACTGGGAGTGAAAGACAAAGTGTATTCCTCGGCTATACCCCACAAGGAAACCGCATCTAGTGATCGCAGATCGCCAGACACCTCTATATGTAGTGGACATTCCATCATTACCCTGCCTCCTTTTGTGTACCGAGATTCATCAAACCCCATTCATCGCTTCGTCATGCAACCCAGTGAAAACCCCCACCCCGGCCAGTCCCATGCTATGCAACCCAACGCAATCCTTCCTGTCCCGCTCAGGCAAGACCAGCCAGCTTCAGAACCTCGGGGTGGGCGCTGAAGAGGTCGGGCTTGGCCTGGTAGAGCACGCCAACCGTGCGGCGCACAATCTCACGCGTCTCGTCGTCGAGCTGGTCAACGGGAGGGCTGAGGACGGACTGGAAGACGGGAATGAGGTTGGGCGTGAGGGCCTGGACAGTGGGCTCGTTGGCCTCGTCTGATGTTCGTTAGCATGATGATTCAAAAGCCAAGGTGAGATCAGGACGGCAACTTACAAAGCTTGAAAATGCACTGGTAGACGGGCTGGTTCTCCTCAAAGTCGTCCTTGAGGGGAAGGAGGCCAACAAGGGCAGGCAGAACATCAGCAATGGGAACCTTGTCGGGATGCGCCATGATCATGCGGCACAGGCAGCCAGCGGCATTATCCTTAATGCGCGCGTCCTGGATCTGGAGCATTGGCTCAAGCTTGCGGAGGATGGTGCCGTAGTGGGGCAGGTACGTGGCCGAGTCGGTCGAGTTGTAGATGAGCTGGCCCGTGGCGTAGGCGGCGTTGCTCTTGGTCTCCTGGTCGGCGTCCGAGAGACGCTTGAGAAGGAGAGTGAGGAGCTTGGGGGTGTAGGGAGTGACGGCGGCCTCCATGTTGGAAGCGCACTCGGCAATGACACCGACACCAGTGGAGCGCTCAAGGTTCTGCGACTCGGACGCGGCAAACTTGAGGATCGGCTGCTCAAACACCTTCCACAGCTCGGCAAAGGCAGGGCCGAGGGCGACAGCAAGGCCAATCACGACGTCGAGGGCCGTGTCAATAACAAGCCAGTCGTACTCGGAGGAGCCCTCCTCGGCCTCCTGGTCCTCATCCTCATCACCGAGGTCCTGCTGGCAGGGGTGCGAGCGCGTGACGAGGGTGCTGATGACCGTGACAATCTCCTTCATGAGGTCGTCCTGGGCGAGGATGGCGGGGCCACACGCCTTGAGGGTGGCGGCAACGTTGCGGTTGATCTCGGTGACGACAGAGCTTTGAACAGTTAGCATGAGCCGACAACTTGGTTGGCATGAAACAGTGAGAGTCGGTCACAATCAGAAGTAGATCAAACGCGTTCTCAGCATCCACATTAAAATGTGTTTGAGTGAGCTGGGTGTAACGTGAAGTGCTCATCATGGTGACGGGGAAATGGAAAAGGGGAAGAAAAAAGATAGGAACATACCGATCAGCCTCCTCGTTCCACGTCTGGAGCGTGGCCTTGGAAACAATCTCGCCGAGCTTGACAAGCGTGACGGTGGGCTGCTGCTTGAGAGGAAGGCCGGGCTCCCAGCTGGAGCCGGTCTCCTCCTCCATCAGCTGCCAAACACGGGCATACGAGCGCCAGAGGGTGGCAATGGCAGCCTTGCGGCAGCCCTCGTAGCTGTGCTCGGCCAGGGGCGAGACCATCTCGATGGCCTTCTCCAAGTACGTCGTGATCTCGGGGCCACCGCACGCGTAGGTGATGATGTCGCCGAGGATCTCAATGGCGACCTCCTTCTCGAGGGCCTCGGGGGACACACCAATGTCATCCCAGTCCTCGTCATCATCCTCATCCTCCTCCATGCCATCCTCGTCCTCTCCAGCGTTCCTGAAGCGGACCTTCTTGCCGGCGGTGATGATCTCCTCCTCGGTGCCAACAATGCCCTTCTCAGTCTCGCTGAGCTGGAGAGTGATCTCCTCCTCCTCGAGCTCAAGGCTCTGAAACAGACCCTGGAAGACTCCGGGCAGGAAGTGGGCAAAGTTCTTCTCGTAGACCTTGGCAAGCATGCTCCACAGGATGAAGCTGCTCTCACGAAGTCTCGAGTTGTCCAGGTGGAGGGCCTCCTCGCTCGACTCCATGAGGCCCTGGACATAGGGCTGGAAGGTCTCGGCGCCGACGGCAATGGCGATGCGGCCAATCGAGTCGAGCACGCCGCTGCGAAGAGCAAGGTCCTCCTCGCTGCCCTTGATGGTGATGTACACACCGAGACCCTGCATAATCTTCTCAAAGTAGGGGCGGAAGTCCTCACCGAGGGACTCGGCAATGGCTCCGATGGCACCCGATGCCGCCACCTTGACCTTGTAGTCGTCGTGGGCAATGAGGAGGCCAATGTTGTCGACAAGCTCGCCGGCGTACTTCTTCATGAACTCGGTGTCCAGGCCCTCCGACATGGAGTCGAGAGCACCGCAGACGGAGCGGATGATCTCAATGTTCTTCTTGGCCGCCTTGGCGTCAGCGGTAGGGGCCATGGCAGCCTGGAGGTTCTTGACCAGGGCGGTCATGACGGGCTCGTTGAAGTCGGAGAGCTCCTCGGCGATGTCATCGGCCAGGCGGGACAGACCAACGAGGGCGGCGTGGCGAACACCGACATCGGCATCGTTGAGCAGGCTGATGACGACGGGCATGATGGTCTTGACCTGCGACGCGATGAAGTCGGGGGCGCCCTCAACGACGTTGCCGAGAGCGAGGATAGCGGCCTTCTTGAAGCCAGTCTCGTTGGAGCTGGCAAAGATGGGGAGAGCGTCCAGCAGAGGGACGATGACCTGACGAGGGGGGAGGTCGTTGGCGAGCTGGTCGAGGAGGGCGAGGGCAGCGCGGGCGGGGCCCATGTCATCATCGTCCTCGTCGTCGTCAATCTCGGTAACGATGAGCAGCGCCTTTTGGGTGAGCTGCTGGCCCATGTCCTTCATGCCCTGGATCTTCATGCGGCGGTACCGCACAGTCTGGGCGAGGAAGGAGAGAGCTTGAGAGCGGACCTCGGCGTCGGCCTCCTTCTTGGCGGCCAGGTCGATCATGAACTGGACGAGGTCCTTGAGGTACTTTCCGAGCAGGGCGGACTCGTATGCGAGGAATTGCTGGAAGACCTCAAAGGCATGGCCAGTCTTCTCATCGTCGCCGGCCTCGATGGCGTCCTGCAGGACCTTGACCATGGAGGGAATGAGGCTCTGCAAAGCGATAACGGGCTTCTCGTCCTCCTCGGGCTCAAACATGAGGAGCATGGCGCCAATCGACATCATGGTGTTGATGCGGACATCGGCGCTCTGGGGGTCTTGGAGGGTGTGGCTGAAGAGCTCGAGGAGCTTGGTGAGGTCTTCGCCGAAGGAGGTGGGGTTGGCCTCCAACAAGCTGTAGATGATGTACGAGCCGACTTCGCGCTGGCTGACATCGCTATTGCTGGCCAGGCTGTAGAGGGCGGGGAGGAGCTCTGGCCACTCGCCATCCTCGAGGTCAATCGTGGCAATGGCAGCGACTACGCGGGACTCGGCGTGGCGGCATGCGGCGTTCTTCTCGGCCATGGTGGCGGCGACAAGGTGTTGGCGCACAGCGGGCTTCTGCTCCTTGGAGATCTTGGACCAGTGCTTGGGCACCTGTCGGGCCGCCTGGACGGCAGCCTGCTGTCGGACGCCATTGTCGGAATTTGTGGCAATGATCTCGATGAGGAGGAGGAGAGACTCGGGGTGGGTGTAGTAGTTCTTCTGGAGCTCAGCCGTGACGGCCTTGACCTTTTCCGTGTCGGCTGCGAAGAGAGGGGTTAGCAGAGAACAAGCTTGGGGCGGGGGAGGGAGGGGGCCGTACGGATTTGCGACTCGAGAAGGAGTCTGGCCAAGCCTTGGATCTCCATGATTGTAAAGCTGGCTGAACGAAACGGGGTATCTTAAAAAAACGAAAGAAAGAAAGCGAGAAGGAGGATGAAGAGGGAGGAGGGAAGGTCGAAGTTGAAATGGGAGAAGGACTGGATGCACTGAGAGAGGGGGACGCCGGACATTTTGTCGTCGAGATAAAAAACCCTGCCGTGATAGCTTATCGAAGATTCACTACCCCGCAGGTGGAGCCAGATTCGGCGGGGTTCAGGTACCAACACCGTGATCAAACTTCAACAGGCCGAAACCCAGATAATGTTCACTTTTTTTTCTTTTTTTTTCTCGAGGAATCACGCGTAGCGACTTGATATCTGTAACATACAAATCCAGTCCTTTCAGCGTTGGGGTTGGACGAGCTGGGACTCTCTTTGGGTTCACTCATTGGATCTACGTCGTGATGCCCCACTATCAGAAAACAGTTGGCAGAAATTTCTGCAGCTAGGGTCCTGAACAACCCCCACCCAGCCAGGCTCACCGAGTTTTACGGATTACAGGCAGACCTAATTGGCGGCTCCCTCAATAACATCGCCGTCTTTTTCTTCACAATTGCATACATATTCGAAAAGGTGCCGCCGGATGCATTTGTTTGGAATGGACGGGTTCGTGCTCATCTCAAGGGCAGGCTCTTATTGATGCAGGGCATGTTTCTGCTCTCTGGCCTCAGACTGGCGCCCAGATCAAGTGTCACGTCGTCTTCGTTCCCCCAAGGTTCTTCAGGCTTCCATGGATATCAACATTTGAAATTATATTTTTCCTCCACTCTCACGTTGACAAGGCAACAGTCTACCAGCTCCACACACTCGACCGGTCCAGAGCACCCCACATTCCGCCGCCTCATCAACCCCGACCAGTTTCCACCACGGATGCCCATTTCGCTCGACCTGTCTGGTTCAGGTACCTGGTACTTGCGTCAT